CAACATTTGCTTTTCTCTAGTCATTGAGGATCTCCCTATCTCTGTGATTTTTCAAAGATGATAACAGCAAAGGCAGCAGCCAGTTCTCTAGGCACCTGCAGGCACCCAATCTGTGCCAATTTGACAGTCAAGTTCTTTCAAGTAATTCCTAATTCAGTCCTCATCCACTGCTGSTAATTTCTCAATCCTTTCTCTGGAAAAGAAACTTTGTTGGTGAAGAGAAGCAAATAACACTGGGCTTCATCTATGACTGCCATCACTAATTCATCCATCGGTACTAAACCCACATTTTTTTTTCTCTTTTCCAGACTCTGCATAGCCATGGCAAGCATGGATGATAGAGTGGTTCTGTGCTCAAATAAAGATATAGGTTTCTTAGAGTGTTTTATAGCCCTGGGCTTTTCACTGCTAGTTAGACTAGACTAGACTAGATTAAAGTTGTCTCAGTTCTATCTGCCCATGCTGCTGTTTGATTTCTGTACTCTAGTAGATAGTAACCTTCACCTGCTCTTCATGTTGGTAACCCTGGAACAGGCTGCCCAGGGAAGTTGTGGAGTCTCCTTCTCTGGAAGTCTTCAAAACCCACCTGGATGCAGCCCTGTGCCACATGCTCTGGGTGTCCCTGCTGGAGCGGGAAGGTTGGACTAGATGGTCTCTAGAGGTCCCTTCCAACCTTAAATGTTCTGTGATTCTGTGAASCTTGGTCATAGCTAATTCTTCCCTTACCCCTTCAAGTGTTTTCTTGTTCGTATCTGTCACAGCAATGCTACACTTTGGGGTTGGAGTTTATTCCTCTCCTAGTTGTGCCAGTGTTTATGAATCTGATCTGTAAACTGCAGTTTTATCAGGGTTTAGAATAGCCCTTCCCAAATGAGGTAAGTCTTTAGATTCAATGCTGTTAGGAGGCAAAGTTGACTTAAATACTGAGGCAAGCATCCTATAAAGCCATTGCCTTAGTAGTGTCTGGATAAGCTCACTGGGAATACCCCGGATTTCCTTTGATGATATGATGATGTTTTGAAGCTCTGCAACTCAATAACCAGTATCTCATAACCAGAGATATCAGAGGATTGGAAATATGGAAAATAACTGGTGTTCTCTTGAAGCATTAAGCAAAATTGCTCAATGAGACTGAGACTTTTTAAAGACACCTGGTACTTGTTTTGATATGATTTTGCAATGAAGATTTCTTTGAGGGTGCCTTACAATTCTGAATGCATTTCTTACAAATRCAAACACAAGCAAGTGGTTTTCTTATGCCAAAACTAAGACGAGGTCCAAACATCTTTTCTTGTTTGGTGGCCTAGCACTCACTCGCACGTACTTATTGCACATAATTCTGATGTAGTGTATGGTCTGTGAGCTAAGCTGTCTGTCCATTAATTCTGAAAAAGCATATTGGTTACAAAAGTTCACCCTTTCTCCTGGCCTGATTTTCGTGGCTGTAGAGGGTTGGAATGAGGATTCCCAACAATGACTTTTTATCTTAACCTTAGGAATTAAGTCATGCTCCAGTTCCCTTTTCCCTTTAAACTGTTATTCTTGAATAGCAGCATTCACCGGAAATTATTTTTCCAGAGAGAACAGTACAAAGGCAGTGTCCCTTTAATAAATGACGTTTTTGTTTTCAGTGTGTCATCCCTCACATCACTGCAATTCACTTACGCAGGAGAGTAGCTTACACATCTGTAGCTATGACTATATTATTATGTGTATTAGCCAAAGCTCAGATGCTTCTCATGTCTTTAAAAGTACTGCTATTTGAATGTCATCAGTAATATGCACTTTTCACTAAGCTCCCCACACGTAACAGAAGCAAGAGGATTCGGAGTATGGTGGTGGGAAAGCAGGCTCCAGAGGACTGGAACCATGGAGCCACTCAACTCGGGAAGCTCTTGGCATAGGCATCTTCTGTTGCTTCTGTCCTCTTCAGAGTGTCTTAGGCACCAGTAGAATAGCAGGGGGAAGGTTGTTTGCATGACTATGTGTTAATGATGTTGACCAGCCTTTTCAAGTTTCCCTGTGATTGAAATGATTCTGTACTAAAGAATGTGTAGCCACTTACACCTGGTTAATTCCAATGCCTTTTCCCTTGCCAACTTCCTTTTTAAAGGATCCCAGTTTAYTTATGGTCTTAGAGAGAAGTAGGTAAGAAGCTATTTTATTTTTCCCGCTGCGTTTTCAGCATTTACTTGAAGGTGAAGATGACAAAAATTTCCACTTGTCACATAGGAGAGCCAGGTTTAATCTGGGTCCACAATGCAGTGTTACAAGGAATAATGTGCCAATATGTGGGGGTGTGGGGAGAATCACATTGCGGATAGCTATTCCCAAAGGAGCATAGAGCTCTTCTCTTGTTGCACCCAGCACTACCACTAACAGCCCTCTGTCCCATATCATGATCTTTYTTCTGGGGAGAAGGAAGATTAGTAGAGGATTTGACTTGCTTACACTGGTTGAGAATTTGTCACTGCTAAAGAGTTTCTCAGCTGCCTACTGGAAGTTTTGAAAAGGATTGAATGGATGCTGAGAACGTAACCTCTTTTTTTGCCCTTCTGTGGCTTGAAAAATGAGTTTCTGAGGGCAGACAAGTCAAGTTCATGCCAAAGGCCAAGTTAAGTTGGAGAAAAAAATGGAAGATGGAGAAAAAAATCTGGAAAACCCTCCAGTGTTCCAGTGAAAAACACTTCAATAGCATAAATGGACCAGTCAACTCCCCCAGGGCAGGAGGTTTGGCTGATATATGAAGCAACTGCTGCCACTCAAGGGATAGCTTCYATGATATAAAACCAATGCACGTTTGCACAAGGTTTCCCACAGACCCAGCAACCTCTGCCTTTTTACTTAATAAGGATTCTTCTTTCCTGCTACTCCTCCTTGGACACCAATGTCTTTCCTTGTTGCTTTAAAAGGTAGTGAGCATAGTCAAGCACCTAACTCTTTTCTAAATCTGTGGGCATTCTGTGATCTATGTGTCTCTTATTGTAGGCTAAAAGCTTATGCAGGAGGTTGGACAGATAAGAATTACCGTAGTGCAAACACTATTTTGGATTATTGTAATAGACTCTTCCAAGTCTTGGGGGTTTTGGTGTTGGTGTTGTTGGTTTGGTTTGGTGTTGTTTGGTGTTGGTGTTTGCTGTTCACTGTGCCGCATTTCCATGCATTTCTTAACACAAAGTTCCTAGAAACAAATCCCTGTGTGGCATTTTTGAGTGGGAGAGAAAGCGGTTTGAAATCTTAGCAGTTTCAGAAAAGCTTAAAGACTTGAGCTTTAAGAACTCAAGGACCAGAAAACAGGCAAAAGAACAACCTCTTGAAGTATTTTTAACAGTCTGGTAGATTTATCAAATCAATCATTTTGCTCTGTTGGATAGGGCGTCTGGCCTGTGGAATTAGAAGTCTAAGGTATCTAAGGCTCTTCTCTTTTGACCATGTGAATTGCCTTCATTGAAAGAACTGCCTTAAACACCTTATGCTTAGGGAAGAACTGATTTATCATCTCTCCACTTCCATATCCCCAGTGACCATCTGTGGATTAAAGGGAAGTTGCCAGAGACAGATAATGGGTAGAGAATGGAGGAGGGACATGGCTAGAGAATCATCTGAATTAATCCTTGTCTTCATCAATAAAGCTGGTTGCATTTCAGACTTTTAAAAATGGACTAATTCTATCTGGATGTTCTGTTGGAAGAATGTCAGAAACATACAGATTTTTATTATGAATATATTCATTTATTCTTTGAAATTATTTAGCTTTGCTAACTTAATTAATATACTCTGAAAATGTAAACATTTAGCTGAGTGACATGACTTTAAATTGGTCACATAACTCAAGTGACTCTTGGCCAATGGCTTTTGGTTGCTTTTCAGCTTTACTTCCTCATGCTCCTTGCTTTTGCTTGCAGTGGGTCCATGGTGCCCCTGATACCTATAGGGAGTATTGCAAGAATGCCTGTGGWGCCACAGTCCTTTCCTAGGAGCAATCTTACCTCCAATATTAGACATGACCCCATGGCGTCTTGCCCCATCCTGAGGCTCTGTGCACCACGTAGCCTTGTGGGGCCATGGAGGGGAGGTGTTGGGGCAGCACTGGGTGCTCTCTGGGSATGTGTGCAGCACGTTTGCAGCCTAGCGTAGCGCTGTGTTGCACAGCCACACRCTCCACAGGTGCCTCTCTGCAACATCACCTTGCCCTGGAAAGCAAAATGCTCCTGAGTGGCACATACGGGCTTTCTGTTTGATTCTTTCGGTTGCATTTGTTGGTTAGGGTGACTGTTTTTAAATAAGCCTTGCCTAAGTTTGTGCACTTGGCCAAGGCTCTGAGTTTGGTGATCTGTGGTTGCAGTTCTGATAYATCACCACAGTAATAAGGATCCATGTGTTGAGGCAGAATACAGTAGACGATCCAGCCAATTGTAACATCTGGGTATCTGCATCCAAATCCCAGTGGGAATGGATCTGTCTTATTGGGCTGCTGCTGGTTTAAAAGGTAGTCCCATATATCATGAGCTAATCAGCTGCATTACAGCTTTACTTCAGAAGGTATAAATTGGTTTGCTTTGCTTAATGAATATGAAGAACATTCATTTTCATGACAGCATTCAGAGTTTCTTCTAATCTTGTTTCAAATGTAAATTTTTATGCTATGTCCAGATAAACTTTCAATTTGACTCTAGCTAGGCAAATATTGTTTACGGCCTGCAAGATTTAGCTTATGGATGTGAGCAATAACTTAAACACYGCTGCAGGTAAGGCATAATGATCATTGCTGCTAATATGGTTCAGCATAATAAAAACTCATCTTGTTAGTGTACTCAATGTATGTGTATTAAGCTATCTGAAGCACTAACTGAGCCCTGTGTGTTTTTTAAACACACCCGCTGCCTGCCTCCCACCTTAGTGGGAGGAGGGTTTAACAACAAAAATGCTCTATTATTTTGTATTTTTTTCTACTATGTTTGTAATGAAAAGCTCTCCCCCTCTCCCCCCACTCTCTACAGGGCAGTTTGCAAAAAGAAAGAAGACTTCGCTATGGTTCACAGTGTCTCTGCTGGTAGTGTCTACTTTCATACTGACCATAGGTCTGGCAGCTACCACAAGAACAGAGAACGTTACCGTGGGAGGCTACTACCCAGGAATCATTGTGAGTAAAGATACATAATTGAGATTATTGCATACAAAGAGATGCATTATTATCAGCTGGATACAGGCAGCTCCAGCTGATTGAAAAATAAAGAAAATTCAGTACTGTTGCATTTAACAAGAGGGAGATGCTCAATGGTATTGACCTAATTCTAGTGAATTTGTGATGCTACCATAGACTATGGTCCTGAAATTTATGAGGTAGGGGAGTGGATTCTATTTGTCTGGCTTCTAGGGGGCCCRAGGATCTGCTCACATGGGGTTAAGTGTGCTCTCCAAGGTAGTATGGTGAACTTGTGGGCATAATTTGGACCCTGTGCTTGACTTCCAAGTGATCTTCATTAAATGCTTATGTATAGGTGACAGGTGACTGAATAACAGACATGAGGCAGAATTAAATGACCTCTAACAATTTTGCTGTGCTGGTGATAGGAAGACTCACTGAGCTTTGAGAACAAACTCCTTAAACGTGTTTCTGTGTTGGGCACAGGCACAGCTGCCTTATCATTCTCAGTAGTGGYTGCTCAAACCCCATCTATTTAGTCCTGCAGTGAGTCTGTGACCTCCAGGAGAGTGTAGCCCCACAAGACCATCGCCAGTTCAGCCTCTATGGCCGTTTACTGACCCTTGAAAAAGTGATTAGTTGTATCAAGAAGGACGGAAATCACTGTAGTCAAAAAGCCTTTTGAGATACTTTGGCTGATTTTTTCAAAAGAGGGGTAAAGAAAGGACTATACTGCCTTATTTGGTCTCTCCTAGCCAGACGAGAGGAGGTGGCTAGGAGAGAGGGATGCAAGGTTAAGAAAGTCCTATACTTAGGGTTAGAAATCTGCTCAAGTATATGGCTCCTCCTGTAGCAAAATGTCTTGCAAGGTACCATTAGTTCTTGTTCTCAATGGAATCAAATGCCCAGAGAAGAGAAATACGTATCTTTTAATACCGTGCATACATTTTGCATTTCAATTAATAATTTGTGAGCTAGAACTGTTCATCCTAAGCAAGTTCTCTTACATCTTAGTGTCATGCTGAGAACAGGTTTTTCAGGAAGATAATTTTGGGATAATGATCTGGAAGGAGTGRTGTTTTAAAATAGAACAAAAAGTAGTTCCAAGAATAAAACCTTAAAAGAATGAGATTTCCTTTCATTAAACTAAAATAGATAGATTCATGCTGATAAAAGTCTCCTTAAATAATTTTTTTAAATAATTTGAATTAAAACATTTTAGAAAACCACATTATTCATATTAATTCCCTTGAAAAAGTTTCATTTTTAAACAATTGTTTTTAATAAGAGTAACAAGTAATAAACTTGTGCAAGAATCAGTTAACATTTAGTTAGAACCACTTAGTTTCTTTTAGAACGCAAACAATGTTTATTCACTGAGCAAGAAAGTATAATGTACTAAAATATATATTTTTAATATCTTGGTCAATAATTTGAAAGAATAGCTAGAATTTAGCAGAAGATTCTGAAAGCAAATCCCATTATTAATAATTTTCCTTCTCAAAGATTTTTAGAACCAAATAATTTTAATAAACTTCTAGGCTTTTTTTTATATATCAACATGCAATGAACTATTGAAGTAACTGCGTAAGGGTAATGATTAATAGTGAGTGTATCTTTTTTTGGCTAATAGATTAAGGAACCAAACATTTAGYGAAAGTTAAAGGTCATACACAAAGCCTGCAAGAAATATTACCAAAAGTCTATTTAGATGAATATGACAGAAATGGTGTGATCCTGCCTGTTTGCTGGATGTTATTGACTCCCGTGTAGCATTAACGGATAGACTGTGGGAGAGCCTCTCATCTAATTACAACTCTGTGCAATCAGCCACCTATTTTAGGAAGAGTCGAAAAACCCTCAGAAGCTGCTTCTCTTCTCCACTGACAGTAGAGGGAGCCTAGAAAATTGGTTTAGCATGGATCCTGCACTTGGAGCTAGCTGAAACTAGGTGAGAGAATCCCACATGACGTGTTTAAATGTCTAGCTTAAAGGAAAAAATTGAATTTTGAGGACAGACAAATGAAATTACAATTTAAAGTAAGGTTTATTTCTCACAGGATTCAGTAGTAGAACTTGAACTTCAGAGGAAAAGGTAAGCACAGAGTCCCCACTGACCGTGGGTAAGGGACTTTTGTCTTAAAAGCATGCAAAATTAGGCTGTTACCTTGCCATTGTAAATGAGACTATTAAGTTGCATAGCTTTACTTGCATGAATACATATTTGCAACTGAGTATAAGAGACAGACCACAAAAACATTTAGCCAACTGCTTAGCTGTCATTTGCTTCTAGAAGAGTTAGGCACCTTAACTTCTCTGCATATGTGGTGACTTACCATTTCTTTGAGAAACAGATTTTCCTCTATATACATCTTGATAGAGGAATGTTTATGTAGACCCAGAGTCAGTTAACATAAAATATTTCTRTGTTTAAGTAAATTATCTGTGGAAGCTGTGCATGTAGTAGTTTGCAGCTTGGTTTGGGYTTAGGGCTCTGTCTTTGTGGAACAGGTTGCAAAGCCCAAGTGCAAGCTTCTTTAAACTCAGTTCCTTATAAATACTGGTTATATTTATTTCATATCACTTGCCTATAAATACTGTTTCTATTATTTTCATTTGTTATTTTTATAGTGGTAACATCTTTCAACCAAATGGCAATAGGGTCCAACTGTCCCGTTCACCGTAGTGATTTGGACCTCCTGATAGACAGAGCCTATATAAACAGACAAGAGAACATTGCATATAACGTGCAAGTGGGGTAGTGGCTCAAAACACTCTCACTCTCTCTGTGGTTTTGCTCCTTCTGGTCTAGTTCTTTTTGTTCTGCATTTTCTCATTTGTTCTTTACATGGATAATATCACACCCATGCCCTCTGAATCAGCYATAAATGGAACTTCATGTATTGTTCCATTTTGGATGAAAAATTGGGGTTGGAATCGGGTGTCATTTGATGTAGTTCTGTTAATTTGTGAAGTTGCAGTCCCCTGCACACAGTGTCCTTGCTCACGGTTCCAAGTCTCTCTTCAGCAGTCAGCACAGCTGCTCTTGTGCACTCTTTTCCTCTCTCTGCTTTTAGTACTTTTCCAGGCCACCCTCAGTCCCTGGATGCTGCCTTCTCTGGTTTCTCTGGTGTTTTCCTCCTGTTTACATAAACCTTCCCCAAAACATTCAGTAGGAAATTCTCCCTTTCTTGCATTTGCTTTCCTCAGAGAGAATGACAGCAGATTCCTGTGGTGACACTGAGCCATTAAAGTGCCTACAGGAGATTTGCTTTCTGCTGTGGGCAGTTGTGCATAACAGCAAGGAGATCATGGGCCTTGCTTAAGCCCTTGGCTGGGAAACTAAGTCCTTAGAATTGCAGTTATGCTCGGAAGGGCACAGTTGTGCTCTGAAACAGGTTCCAGAGCCTTCCAGAAAGGGCACCAGTTCCCTTAGCCTCCATGGGCCGGAGGGGATGGGAGCTGGGGGAAGGAGCCACTGGGGAGCTCACTGAGCAGAGAGAGATGTCAAATAKTGAAGAGAGGAAAAATGGGGCAGAAATGAAAGGGGGATGAAGACCCTGGTAACTGCRCAGAAGCAAATGGGAAAAATATCCAGCAGCACAAATATCCCCCGCTGTRGCTATTTGTTGAGTTTGTAGCCAAAATAAAGTTTAGCTTTGTGCCACTTAAAGCCCCCATTTCCTACCTCCCTTTTCTCCAAGCCTACGTGAACCCAGTGGGGATCTTGAATCCATGGAGACCTGATGAAGGGGAGGTCCTGTCTGCTGCCACTGTAAGCCAAGAATGCCAGGAGTTTTTACCTCTTTAGACCATTTCCCTCTGCAGACCTTTCCCACTCTCTGAGGTGGCTCTGGATATTGCTGCTGTCCTTTGGTGATACCAGCTGCCCTGGTCTTTCTGGCTTTTTAGCAGGGTCTTCTCCTGGGATATGCGATAGTGTTCTGTCATTCAAAGTGAATAGACGCAGACATAAGGAATTAAACATGAGTTGCCCAATTTAGCATAGGAGCAATACTTTNGATAGTGTTCTGTCATTCAAAGTGAATAGACGCAGACATAAGGAATTAAACATGAGTTGCCCAATTTAGCATAGGAGCAATACTTTTTTTTTTTTTTTTTTTTTTTGAGGGAAACTCTTTATTTTCAGTTGCCTAAAGCTTTTCCGTTTTCCAGGATGATCATACATAGGCTAAATGTAAATGTTCTGCTTCACTTACCTTTCACCTTACAGTAAGTAAAATATATGTATCTGTAGTAACAAGACCCAAGCAGTTAAAAGTGTCTTCCCTTTACTGCAATAAAATATTTGCTCGGAAACAGAGTTGCAGTTCTGGGCATTCCCTGTTGATTTTTGATCAGTAATAACTTTAGATAGGCCAGTTCACCCTTTCTCCTGACCCAACCCAGATAGTCCATCTGTATTAAGTATCAGTTTAGATATCACTGTGGTGCTTTGGTATGTTCACCAAATAAGCTGATTTTATGTGTTTGTCTTGTTTTTGTTCTCTGCCTTAGCTTGGTTTTGGATCATTCCTAGGAATTGTTGGCATCCACCTGGTGGAGAACAGAAGACAAATGGTAAGCAACAACCCTTTTTGTTTCCTCTTTTTTTGTATCAAAATATATTAAAACAAGGAAAGAAAGGATTTTGTATTGGCTTAAAGTTGCTGCATCTTCATCAAAATATTAGTTAATTGTTTCCCTATTTCCTGGAAATATTCTGAGAAGTACAAAGTGGTCATGACTCCATCTACGCAGGGCAAGGCTACATGCTGTGGTTGGAGGTGCAGGGTTCATCACTTCCAAAAGAGGATATCTCCCTTCCATTGTACAGATTCCCTCCTCCATCTCTGCTGATTCTGCCAATCTCCTGGGTCCTGAGTAAATCAACTCCTTTACTAAAACCAGCAGTTTATTCTGTCAGTTAGTGAGTTGGGCTGGTACAGGGTCACATGAGTGCTAGAGCTTGGGCAAGACCATGTAGTTGGGAACAGGATGGGGATAGAGGCAAAATGCCCAGTTTGGGCAACAACGGGCCTCATAATCAGCTCACTCATAATATGTGATCTCAACCTGAGTAAGAAGTTTAAATCAGTAATCCTGACAATATGTGTGTTAGGGGGAAAAAACACTCTCAAAGCTCTCTACCAAGATTCTCCAGCCAGGACAGGCAGGGTCTAACCATGCTGTACTGTTTGTTTTCAGATTTAGCTTGCCTTTGCAAACCCTTGCCTTTTTTTTTTTTTTTTTTTTTTTAATGTGAGGAAGTCACATGAAGTCCTTTGACTGTCTGGATAAAGGAAGGTTTATGGGACTGGATTTCAAACGTTTCCTTGCTCTCAGCAAAAAATAGTAGTGTCTTGGTTGAATAGCAGTACGTCCAGTGTGCACTTTACACTAGGCTGATTATAGCTAAGCATCGTGAAATGCAATAAATTTCATAGTGCAGAGTATTCACTGGTATAAATCAGGAGAGTGATGTTAAGCTCAGAGGAGGAACCAATTGATTGACCTTGCTTTTTACTAACAATTTGCAAAGAGGTTATTTGTCATTATTTGCTGTTTTTTCCTTAGTAAATGCAGTCCTGATCCCACTATTTGTCCACAAATATCTTTCATAGCATTTTCTGCCTTGCCTGCAAGTTTCAATGATAYCTTACTTTATTGTCCTGTTCAAGTATTAGCCTATTTTTATCTTCTGTTTCTATCTAGATTTCCCAAAGAAACGGAAATTATGAAACCATGATGGTTACATGTGTCTTTCTCTATTTCCCATTCTGTTTTTTTGAACCATTGACCAATTTTAGGAATGCTCAGACTTTAAAGGCATGAAACTGCTTCAGGTTGCATAAAAATCTACAGGTGGGTAGATGACAGGAGTGTAAATTAGTTTTCCTGTGTGATGATGAAGGCTGTAATGTTAGCTCACCTCTTATTAACACTAGAGAATCCAAATGGGGCATGACCCGGGAGACATAAATCTAGACACAAATCTCATTAATTTTGTTATTAACAAAACAGCTGATTCATTTTTAAGAACTATTATCTGATTTATAYATCAGAGGCTGGAATTAATAGTTAGTTCCAAGTTACAGACTCAGTAGCGGTTGAATCTAAATATCTTTTTTTTGCACCAAATTCCTGCTAATTTATGAATGGCCATAACATTTTTTTTTTTTTAAATCTTTCAGTTTTCTTCTAAATTGCCTCTTGGGTTCCTTCTCTCCGTAGCAGAAAATGAAATGGCTGACCAAAAAATGCAGAAAGAGTGAGATCATAGAATCATAGAATCATAGAATGCTTAAGGTTGGAAGGGACCTCAGAGGCTATCTAGTCCAACCCCCTGCTCACGCAGGGTCACCTAGAGCAGAGCACGTGGCACAGGGCTGTGTCCAAGCGGGTTTTAAAGATCTCCAGAGAAGGAGACTCCACAGCCTCTCTGGGCAGCCTGTTCCAGGGCTCTGTCACCCTCACTGTCAAGAAATGTTTCCTTAAGTTCCTGTGGAACTTTTGGTGCCTCAGCTTGTGGCCGTTTCCTCTAGTCCTAAGATGCTGCTGAATCACGTAATGCTCATGCCCAGGGTGTTCTATCATTTGCACAAGGACTGTGGAGAAACCAGCATCCGGTGTGTTTGGTGTTAGTGCCTGTTGGTGTTTCTCAGCATAGAATAAGGATAACTACTTTCCACTAATAGCACACAGTGTTATGGTTTGGCTGTTAAATGATGGTGTTTCTGGGGAACAGATCAAGAAAATAACTAGGAAGTTTAATTAGGCTTCTTGCCTTAAGGATCTTCTACAGCGGGCGGGCTAAGCTTGTAACATTGCTCTTGCGAATGCTGAGTTTCTTGTTTTTAAGCATTACGGAAATGAGTTTGAAAGGATTTACATCATAGTACAATTGAGGTCAATAATTATCCCCTGGAGTCTAACTGAGTATATACGACTGGAAAGGTTTAGTTAGCTTCAACAAGGTTGCAGCCATCAGTAAGACTGTAAAGACGCAGGTAAACATGGAAGCATAACTGAAATGCCATATTCCTGTAACAAAAGTGTAGTAGGAAGGAAATTGGGTTTTATTTTACTGAATTGCTTCTATTTTAGCAGACTTCAGTCTGATTTGAGTTGAGTTGAAGTTGGTGTAGTTTTGACAATCATCTGGCTCTTGTGTTCACTTGATACTTCTTTTTTTTTAAGTTGAAAATTAATGTAGACTCAATTACACTAATGGAAAAAAATCAATTTTAAAATGATCTTTTCTCTATAAATATGTTTCTCTTTTTGTCTTGAAATTGCATGTACTTTTGGCTTACTTCTGTGATTTGAAATTTGTTCATGGCTGATGAAATACCAGGTGCTGGATGAAATATGTATTGGCTAGCAGCACTATTCCTGCAGAAATTCTGCACTAAATTGATGTCAACATGAAAATATGAAAACACTGCCTGACAGAATGGGCAATGGTTTGTTCCTAAAGCACAAAATTAAAAATGTTGCTCCTCTTAGATGTGATTCTCAGCCTCCCAGCATCCAGAGTGGGAGCTTAATGTGCTGACCAAAGTATAACCCTTAAATCAAAGAGTCTGCTGCTTGCAGAATCGGGCTCTGCCTCATTGACTAGCACTTGAACTTTTAATGTTCACACTTGCCTCTGCTCTGTTGAACCTGGCACCAGCAGAAAATGAGATCCATAACTAGGAATAAGATGCTTTTGTACTGCTATGGGATATTGATAACTTTCAAACAGCAAAATAAAAGAATAATGTCTTGATATCCCATTTTATCTCCTTTTTCCCCCACAAAGCAGGCTTCTCTTTCCCACCATAAAGTAGGCTTACACAGTTAAGGTCATGGACTGCAGAACAAATATAGTGGTAAGTTGTTGCATTCCGAAAGAATATGTAGTGCACCCTGATGCATAGAAAATATGATACTGCTCAAATCAGATGGATTTGACTGTGAGACATGAAGCGTCCTTGCTTGCTTGCCTGCATGCTGTCTCTTCCCATTCCAGTGCAAACATTTCCGATTAGAAAATGAGATGCTGAAAATAGGTACAAAGATAGGAAAAGCTGGAATGAACTGGGGGAAGCGACAGCAGAGCTGAGCTGAAAGCACTAAGCAGTGCTGGGGAGGGGGGTAAATGCCTCTTTCTGCTAGATGTTTATTTCACCAGGGACAGTTGGAAGTGCTGTATAAGTTTCCCAGGCTTGTTCTTGGATAAATGTGGAGGGTGGTATGAGCTAGCACCCAGAAACTAACCACTCTAAGTGTGCAGTGTTGGCAAGACACCATTTATGTTGGTTTGGCCAACCCAATGGATAACCCAAGTGTWGGCTAGCGCTTCCCACTCACACGTGTTTTCCAGTGCCAGTCTCATGCTGCCATACTCTTCACAGAGATGAAAATAAATGTGCTGAAACTGTGGTACCTGCAAGTGTGATTGGGGGAAATAAGGGCACTTATGCTGTTAGGTTTTCTGACACCTGTAATATTGCAGTACTGCCTGCAGGAGCTCTCAGTAGGGCAGTGGCAGTCACSCTGACAGCAGCAGGGCTAGGGCAAAGCAGCAGCAAAGGAAGAAATGGAGTGAGAGGAGGAAGAGGAGAGGGTACGGAAARGAATTGCAAAGGACACTGAAAGAGGAGAAGAGTCAGAGAAGCCGGGATGAAGCTTAAGGCAGTATAAGTTATCATGGACTTCAGTACTACTTATGATGAGGATGGTTGTCTGTCCCAGGTCTGATTYCTGTATTACCCATTGCTGAATCTTGCTGTTGTTCTTCTTTTCATACCAACACAGGGACAAGTGTGTTTTGCTCAGGGACAAGTCTAGAACGTACTTGGATATAAATACAATGTCCTTAGCTTTTTCAGAGATGATCGTAGTGATTTTAGCTGAGGAGACATTGATTCTGAGAAAAATGGAATTTGAAAACAAAAGGGAGGTTAAACAATGGACCTCTGCATAGAAAGGACAAAACGATTTGTCCAGACTTTTCAGTGGTGCTAAGTTTAGGTGCCTGAATACACTTGCTTCCTGATTTCTGTCAACAATAATTAGATTTCAAATTAAGTGCTAAAAAGCAGCCATTGCAGAASTTGTAGAAGGGAAACAAAGACAATATTTTTTTCTTTCTCTTTTTAGTTTGAACTTTCCTGCCAATACGTATGTTCCTATCCTGCACTGAGATGCAAGGTGTATTATCTCTGATTMTTTCCTTGCTGCTAGACTTATTATCTGTTTCAGAAGAGCTGTTTCAAAGCAGTTAGAAGTGTGCATGCCACTTTGCCTAAAGTGCAAGAGTCAAACTGCTTTCACTGCTTGCAATAGGTTATATTTTGTAAATGACAATCAATAATTTCTCTTGGGATATTCTGTACAAGGATGGTGGTTGTTAACATGTACATTGATATGAATACCTACACARCTCTGTTTAAGGAAGTTGTGTTTGATCTAGCACGACAAGAAATCTAGAAGAAACTGGCTTTGGTGCAGACTTCAATCAAAAATGCTAGTTACTGATAAGAGTCTATGTCACAAAAAGCTAATGAAAGCAGCTTGTTGACCTAAGCTTC